GAGATAGAGTTGTAATACTTGAAAATGGCTGTGAAAGCCACTAGGGGGACATTCTGAGCTTTTGATTGGTTATTCACATGTCATAGATAGAAGTAAGTGTATATAAGGGAGCATTTCCAAAAATTGAAAGAGGTGAGTGGAGCCACTGTGTTTGATTCAGTACATGAGTGATATCTGAGCAAATAGAAAAGATAGGAGGTTTTTTTTTATTTTCTAGCTTATTAATATCGGTAATTGGAGTTCCTAATTTGTATGAAACTATAGACTTAGTATTTTAACATCACAAACATCTAATTTGTGCTGCATTCAACATACCATGTGACACACAAAAATTGATGTTGTTTAGCTGTGTTTTTTTTAATATTTACTTTTAAATTAAGAAATTAAATAATGTATAATTCTAAAATTTGAATTATAATCTACAGTTTGATACCAAACTTATTGACATAAATTCATAAAATAGTAGTTCAATAAAATTTTGAATGAGAGTCAACAACGCGATGACATGGCCTTTGACTTGTGACCCATGTGGAAAGGGTTAAGTATATAAAATGAATAACTCACAACTGCTATTTTCAGAGTGGTTAATGAAAACTAGATTTGAAAATGATGGCAAACTTTTTGAAGGGTTTGAAATTCAGCTCAAATAACATTTTGACAACTTTTGCACCTTAATGTTTTTAAAATTCTAAATGTCTTCTTAGAGAAAATAAAAGTGAAGCTGTTGAGGAACTGACAACAAGTTTGCTATGAGGAGTTTCCCAAAACACCAATATGCGTGTCCAACAAAGTGACATCTAGTGGATAACTTGGAAAATAGATAATGATTACTAGACAAGCTGTTAATGTTGATATTAGATAAACAGCAAATTATTTATGTCTGTTCAATTTATTTTTGTTGTAAGTTATTACATGGAAGCAAGGAATTAAAAAGAAAGAACAAAGCAAGTTATATTAGCGAAACACTAAATATTATGATGTTTCATAAGATAGATGAGAAACATATGGGGAGGGGGGACGAAATGTTAAAAAATTACAAGGAAGTGTAAAACAGTCACTTCAGCTGACAACAATACTAAGTACACAAAACCAAATCAACAAGAGAAATATATTGTAAAAACCATAAGGTTTAATAAAAGGATACAGAATACACATATTAGAAAAATGTATATCGTACAACACTTGTTGGTAACTTGGCTGGAGCCAAGAAAAACTGACATTATGTCAAAGCAAAAAAACAAAGCAAACATACCAACACACTGTTAAAGCTAATTTTCTTCATTTAAATAATTTGCTGAAACCAGAAGAAAATTTAAACCAATTTCAAAGTTAAATATCCTATAACACAAAAGATAGAACCTGATTCTTACATGCCAAAAAATTAAGACTACGTGGACCACAATTTAAACTTATGTACCATACAATTGATAATTATGGAGAAAAAATACAAATCATGCATAAATTATGTAGCAAAATTTATAATAATATAACCCTATTGCAAAGTTAAAAACAGCTTTAAACAATAACATTTAAAAGGATGTTAAAAATACTTGATGAAATTCCACCATCAACAGCAATTTATTTTTTTAAAGAAAAAACACTTTTAGGCATTATATGTCAAAGTTATATAATACTGGCAACATTGACATAGAGTTGATTTTTCTTGTGCAGCTTATGATCATGCAGTCAATCACTTAACATGTGGTAATTTGTAAATTATGCATAACATACTGCAGCTACTGAGTTGGGGCCCTGAAAATAAACTCACAGACAGTGGCATAAGTATAACTCTACAACTGTTGTGGAGGGGGGGGGCTCGGTCCTTTGGATTGGAGATGCATGATCAGGCTTGCGCACAATAATGCATGTAAATTTTACTTTAGGTGCATTGTTTAATGCTCATATAAATTTATCCTTATCATTCGCATAAAAAACATTTTAAAAATCAACTTTACCTATTTAGCGCACGTGATGAGTGGTATTCTCATATCACGACTAACACAGCTATTTACTACTGTGGCACTGATGATTCAAACACGGCAGTGTGCATTAATCCAAATTGGGGACTACAGTCTACTTCTGTGAATTGACATTATTTTAAAACAACAGCAGCAACCAGTGTGAGCCTATGCTTCTCCACATTTTTAAAATGGGAATTGCTGGATACCATTGGCTACAGTGCAAAAAATAAAAGAATGTGGAACAGAGTTGGTTGTAAAGGTAAATATTTTTATGAAACCATACTGTATCACTGATATGTTGATATTACACTAGCAGATGACAAATTATTATAAATTATACATGTGTTCAACATATGATTTAGGCCATGTAAAAACTTGTCAAAATTGAATCAATATTTGTGAATGAACGTGAATAGTGGTGGAACTGACCAGATTTAAATCATGCGTTGGCTTTACTTGTCATTAAATTACTTAGTCCAAGGTCTTCCTTAACAAAGTTTTTGTGTCATTAATAACTTTACTCTAATTTCACACCCAAATTTGCCTACTTTTTCCAATGCTCAAAATGACAGTGGATAAACTCTGGTTAAGAAAAATAAATTAAGTTAAATCCATTTTTGTCAAATGTTGATAATCAAGGGTGCATTTTAAGGGTGTTTGAGGAATTACTAAATACTGCATAACTTTTACAAAGATAACACATGTATACACAGATTTTTGAAAAAGAAAAGATAAATAAATGAAGATTTTTTTCAAGTTTACCATTTGTTTTAGTCACTACATTATGATACATGACCTGAAAAAAAAACATTTTTCATTGAATGATTAAATCACTCATCATAATATTTTCAGGAGAGTGGTAAAAATCACTCGCCTAATGTTTTCAAATATGAAGGACTGGACCTGAAGAGCCTGACAACAAAGGGGATAAATGTGGGGAGGGGCATCTTTTGTAGTTACCCCACAGAGTATTTGTTCCAGTGCCAATAGAAATTGTAACCATTTGAGATCTGATTAATACAGTACAAAGGTAAAAAATTTACAGGCAGTTATTGGCCTAAATATTTTACCAATACAAGGCATGATTCTTGTGCTAGAACTTTTGAAAAATTCCCAAATAAATCAGATTTATACACGCTACAAAATTGCAAATAGTAGGAGTAGAAAGTGAAGAGGTTAGGCAAGTATTTTTTTATTTTATGATCCTGCTGACTCTAGATAGTCACAGTCCGAGATAAAAATAAAATATACATAAAATATTTTTTTTTTTATTTCCAACTTTTGAATAAACAAGCATAAAAATTAAATAAATAGGTTTCATTTTTTTTTAAACTCTGCACTGCCATCGGTCTTCCACCCAAAGTTTTCACTACTACTACAATTTCTCAGATTTATGGCATTGTTTCTTGCTGTTTATCATGCACTTAAAATGAATGTGCTCTGGGCACAAGATTTTCACCACACTAAGATATAGGAAGGTGGTTTTGAGACAATCATGCACAACTATGGTATTAAATGGGCATTGATCTGAAATCATGGCAGACTCATGGATATCGTTTGCTATAGTCAATGCGTATGTAAAACGCTTAAGAAGTTCAATACAAAAAATGCTCACCTCAGAAACTATTGGTGACATAGTGTCCAAACTTGTTCTAAATTATTGTTTATGACCACCAGCTATATTTAGTGTAAAAAGACAAGAATGAAATCAGAGACCTCTTTAAATGTGATGTACCAAATAGTTATTTACATGTACATAGGTTTAATCTGTAATGAAAGAAGACCTGTGACATAAGATACAGTTTTCTGGATTGTCTTTAGCATTACAAATGTAAAATTCACTATCATTTTATTACATAGGTGTTACAATAAATTTCCAACAATTGTGCTGGTACTGCTCCGACTTGGACATATTGCATGAGAATGAAGAAATCAAGTAATTGAGAAGAACTCATACAATAGTCACACCTGTATGCAACACATGCTTCATTTCTGGCAACAAACCAATGATCCTCCTTCCCTACAAAGTTACTAGAAAGTGACATGACATTGTATTAAAAATGATGAATAAATAAGTCACAACCTTGTATGGCTTTGTGTTTTTATTATTACACATTCCTGTGCAGTTGTGTGTCCATAAAAGTTCCGTTTGACTGGTGTAACCATATTGCTAAGATCCCCCCCTACTCTCATTTATTTTCTAAAAAAATTGTAAAAAAAATAAAATGCTCACCTTGTAAGGTCTAATCCTTGTGTAACACCAAAACAAATAGCACAAGATAATATTAGTAATAACATACCACATTTGAAACAAAATTTAGTACCTGTCCACACATGCATATAAACATTAATATTCCACAAAAACAAAATTTAGTACCTGTCCACACATGCATATCTCTCTCTATAAACATTAATATTCCACAAAAACAAAACTTTCACTTCAGCGAAGTATTTTTATATTCTATAACAAAATATAGCATTTTCATTAAATAGTTTATAGCTTAATATTTAATCCCTTATACAGTTCAGTTGTGTAATTCTGTGATGCTGGAACACTGAATAACTTTTACGTGGTTAATGATAGATAGCTGGCTAAAACCCTGATATGTTAACATTTTCAGTCAATACAGCATAAAACACAGTATTTTAGTTTGAAGATCTGTATGTGGCAAATTATTCATTCAACAATTTAACCAACTATAATTTCTCATCCTTCATTGTACTGAAAAACTCTTAGGACTTGTACTTACCAGCTTTGTTCAGTAGGAATGTCATGTCAGAAGGATTTAGTTCTATAGCTTTATCATAATGCTCCAAGGCCTTTTCAAAATCTCTCTTCTTATATGCTTCATTACCTTCTTCCTTTGCTTTGAGTGCCTGCATAAAAAAACAGTATTTGAACTTCATTTACCATACTTCTGTATATAGTTTTTCAATCCATCAGCATAAAATGTTACAGAAAACCAAAACAATACAATTTAATAAATTCTTGAACAGTTTCATTTTCAATACTGTATATATACACTGGGCATGTTCATTCATTATATATATAATTATCAACAGTCACACTAGCTTTTCTGAACATGCATTCCAAAATGCTTACACCAAAAACACATTCTGTCTTTTCAGAGTTGCACTCAAATATTTAGACAAAATTAACTGAAAGTCATCATTTTGTCAAGATAAATACTTTTCATCATGTCTTCTGCAATGACATCTTTCCAGTCTTGAAAGGATTAACACAAATCTTACTTTATTGCTAAGTCGCTTTTTCATTTTGTGCATCTTGTGAAAACAGAACAAATTTTTTGATCAACTGATTTATTTCTGTATTAATGTGACTGAAAGTAACTATTTTACACTTTATATATTATTATACTTTTCTTAAAGCATGTATCTAGGACTAACCTAAGTCTCCTAAGCTGGCCAAATTTCATGAGATATTATTAGGATTATGACAAAAAATATCATTAACAGTTAGGATACACAACTGATAAAACAATGCATCCTAATTTTTATAATTAGAAACATATGAAAAGAATATTTATTTAGCTTTACTGATTGCCAGATTGATTTTTAGTTTGCTCTAAGTACATAACTGTCTGTGATTGGAAATTAATATTAATTACTTGCCGCTGGGCATATATTCAATTATACATGAATAATATAAACGAATTCACACAGATTTTTCAAATATTTCTTAAGTATTTGTTCAGAAAATAAAACTACTTTAGCAAAAAAAAACAAACAAACACACATTAAGTTTCAATGTCTAAGATATGGACATAATGAAGTAATTCTCAACTGTACCCATCCATGGTTACGTGATTTTTTGACAAGCTAAAATTTTGCATGTCAACTTTTAACTGCCAAACAAAAATATGTGAAGAAAATATTCCTCAAATCCTGAAAGGTCCCTAAAAATTGACAATCAGAAGGTTTTACAATCTCTCAGGTTTAAGAGAACTAATTTACATAAAAGTTGGAACTTACATGTAAATATTTATCCTAAACAATAACTAAATTCCAATTATATGAAAATATCAAACTGGAGCTCCCACATGAGGTCTGATTGAACAAAAGTGAAATGAATGTAGTCAAATTTATTACTTAAAACACATGTAGAAGACTTGTTTGGTAAAACATAAGTCTACTAATGAAAATTTACACTTGACCAGTCAATTTGACAGCCACACTACCGAGTGTACAATGTACAATTTTCAAGGGGACACACACACACACACGCTTAAAAAAACTGGGATAATCATGATCCTGCAACCTCAGCACAACATTATTAATGTTTTATTATAAAACTGATTCAAGTCCAGCAGTAGTATATTAATGAGTATGGTATTTATACTTGAACCAAAATAACATGTAGCAGCATTGCTGTAACTTATTCTTGTTTTATATTAGTCATAAACTGTGTTATAAACTCAGTTGTCACTGGTATTGTAACTAAAGATGATTGTTTTAGTAATAATGAAGCACTAAAATTCATGAAGAAAGCTTACTATTTCCCAAAAACTACTTATTCATTTAAACCAGCTTAATCACAGAAAACAAACAAAAAGTGTTGATAAAAAAAATTAAGAAAAGAACTGACCTCTTGAAGCTCCTTATTTAACTTCTAGATTTTCTGAGCACAATTTATCTTTTTTGTCTCAGATAATCATGGACCGAGGAACTGGTGTCAGAAGTTGGAACACTCGAATGAAATAGGGGTGGAACTATGATGACAGAGTTGAATGTATACAAGCAACATCAATGCTTGAATCCAAAGACTAGAATGCTCACAAAAATCAAAGGTAGGAGAAATGGGCATCATGTAACTCACAGAGGACAGCAGCAGATGGACGAACATCCTCCGACAACTCATCTCTCTCAAACAAATCTCAACAACATACTAGCCAAGAGACTAGGAAAATGCAGAAGCTGACAATCAAACCAAGGAGGATGCTAACAATGGCCTCAACTCACTACAGTGATGTGGCAATTGCCAAGTGTAGGGATGATAAATATCTCAGCATTGTAGGTAGGGTCACACAGATCTTAGAAAATTGTGATCTATTCAGGTTGACCACAGACTCCATTCTGTAACCCAACATATCAAGGAGCAGGTCTACTCTCTGAGAATCTAAATACAGTTCCACCTGGCAGTGGTAGGGGAAAGCATGTTATTCTGACAAATGTGGCAGACAAGGCATAGCTGTCCACTCATGTAACTGAGTAGTAAACCTCCCTGCATAAACTGCAATATCAGGGAATGGAGGGAGAACTAAGTACTTGCCCTCAGACCTTTCTGCCATCAAGGAAGATGCAGACTCAAATGAATTGGGAATTTGACAAATTTGTTATTTATTTATTTTAATATCAATGTTGTTTAGATTAAGTTTATATTTTAAAACATACGTAGCTTATAGGGTTAAATATGTATTGTGAAACTCCCGCCTATTCTCCAAAGTTATAGAAGATTCTCGAGAGTAAAAATCAAAAGTATATGCGTGTACGTAAACGCCTTAATCAGTATTGTTAAGTAAGACTGAATTTTCTAGAAAACCTATAAATATAACCAACGTGCCATACTGAGAAGAGTGTCTATTATTAGTTCACTATAATCAGTGTGTTATAAAACTTTGAAAGCTATAACTGTGAGTGTTATAATGCTTATCAATCGAAAAACTTCAGATATTTGACCAGGAACCTTTACAAAGTTCGAACATTACAAATTATTCAACTTTAGTGGATTCTCATCGAACATTAATAATTTTACGAAAACATTACCTTACTTCAATGGTGGAAAACAGCGTGTGTGGCCAAGGAGACCAAGCTATTTATATCAACTCGCTAATCGTAAACCCTTTATAAGATATCAAGGGAGTTTCAAACTAGAAAGAAGATTTTATATTGTTTGTAAGTTTGTGAAACTTTTGCTTATAAGTCTTTGTTTGTAATAACTATTTGTAATAATTATTGTAAATTGTACTGTTGTGTGTATATTAAAAACACATTTGTGTTAAAAAAGAAAATTGTGTGAATCAATCTTGTTGGCAAATATCGTAAATTGACTAATATATCGGCATATATTTAAATACCAAATCCAAAGTACAATTTAACAACTAAATTCAAATTGTCAGTTAACTTGGCTTTGGACTATTTGAAAATCTAATACGTAACAGGAAAAAAAGACCAAAAACATCATGCACTCAATGTATTAACAGAAGAAAAAAAGCTGGTCCAAACTGGCCTCATGTGAAGCCAACAGAGTAAAGGAAGGCACTGGAAAAAGCAAATCTAAATTCTCTCAAGAATATCCGGGTTTGCCCACAAGTGCAAGCCTCTTAAACCCCAAGATAAACACCACCAGACCGATTGCACATCTCCATCTCACTACGGATAATGTCAAAGACAATCTCAACCATTAGAGACCCCCCCCCATTCATGAGCAACGCTTGATATATATCAGAGGAGGGATAGGAGAGACCTGATTTGCTTCCATGTCAAACATGTTAATCCGGGAATGCATGCCGGATAGCTGTAGTGTGAGAACAGGTAAGTATGTTTTGGAATATCAATTTAATCATCTTGCTTATATTCATTCATTATTTTAGGTTCCTTTAGTCTGACCTATTTACATGCTTCTACATTCACAAACTTGGTAAATACCCATTCTTTCCATTATATCTACTTATTGGTTTAAATATAAAGAAAAAATTGTTTTTTAAAAAATTATAAAAACTTTTTAGATAAGTCAGATATATAGGGCAAAAAATCAACCCCACTCATTTTATTAAATTATTTTACCATATTATTAGCTCTTTCAGCACGGGCTTGGTCCCTGGGACTGACCTCAACCATTTGGTGCTTGTTATGGTTTTCATGCTATAACTTCTAAACTAGTAAGCATATGTTAACAACATTTGGCACATTATCAGTAAACATTACAATGCTTTCAAATGCAATGTATAATTTTTTTTATTAAGTCTTAAGGTTTGTTAGACAATGTTTTTCTCTGCTTTTTCTTTCTTTTCACATGTTTGCCTACCCAACATGCAAAGTAATTTTCAAATTTTACATGAGATATCTTTATAATGTCCAGATAGTTATCAAACATTTCTTAAGAAAAAACTACATTTTATCTGTTATTTTCATTAATGAATCTCTGTACGGGTCGGTCGATTTGACTGACATAAAAAGTTAGGAAATATATATAAATTATGCCTCTTTTGTTCTAGAATGACAACAAATTATAACAAAAACATAAATGTTTAGACTAAATAACTTAAATCTCATAACATAATATATTTTTATATATTTTTTATTATATTGACATTTCAGCTGTGCCTGGCTAACAATACAGAAGTTACAATGACAAGGCACATGTGCTTTCATGTTACTGTATCCAATAATATAAACTGACCTTTAGTCTTTAAAAAGTGACTTGTTTTGGCTGTGATTTAGTAAACTAGTATTTTGTAAAATACAGTCACATTTCAATTATTATACATTATATATGCATATAGATTATTACTATTTATAAATAACTTCTTAAACTTATTTTTTT